ACCCTGGAGTATATCCCATGACTCAACATGAACTTCCTTCTAGACCTAGCTAGTCATAAAATAGCCTTTAAGGGCTAGGCATGGTAGGACAGGCTTGTAATCCTAGCACTTGGGAAGTGCAGACTAGAGTGAGTTTGAGGCTACATAAGACCCTGTCTCAAATGCCTAAACCAACAGTTAGACAGATGGTTTGGCACATGCCTTTAATCTGACCTCTAAGTCCAAGGTCAGTCTGATCTTCATATCCAGTTCCAGGACATCCAGGCTACATAAAAAGATCCTGTCTCAAAAAACAAAATCCAAATAGATAAAAGACTCAAAACAAACTAAAACCCTAAACCAAATCAAAAGCTTTCAGGGGATCATTTTCCTGTATAGGAAGCCAGGCTAAGTTTAGATACTTCAACTAGTGTACATGTGTACACATGCATCTGCCTGCCCTTTTGGAAATAGCACCTACAAAAGAGCTCCTCCGTTAGTCTCTGTTGCCACATCTGGTTCAGGAGGTCTAGATGCCTAAGATACAGACCAGTGTTGGAGACCTTCCCTTCGGAGTTGAGAAAATAATGAAATCATATGCATTTATTTCCTTATTTCTCATTCTCAACAGAAACTTCAGTTTAGACCACAAAGGAAGTTCCTGGAATTCAGGCAAGCAAAGAATTTGAATTATAGTATGGGTATCCTAATAAAATAAAATTGTGTTTCTGGAAGGAATTCTGCAGAATACATAGAAAGGCTTGAGGCAAACACCTGATTTGGAATGGTTTACACCTCCTACCTGGACATCTTAATTGCCCGGTCCTTCTCTTCACAGAATCCTGCTGCTTTATGGAGACTGTGTGACACACAGCACAGGAACATGGGAGAGAGTACCTGGATCCTGCTGCTGCTTTTGTCACCCATCAACTATGTGTCACCTTTTTGCCATGTTTTCCGTATCTGCAGAATGACTATAACAATTTCAGTCTTTGTCATATGGGAAGCTCTGAACTGGAAGAGGTATGATTTATCTGAAAATGTCTTTAATCACAAGACAGAAAAATTAGACAAAAACAGGGATATATAAGCCTATTTACTCTAGGGAGGGAAGGAGAGAGAGAGAGAGACCAATAACAATCAAATTTATTTGCCTTGGATTTCCCACATAGTCAACTTTTACAACTTAAGCTAATTCATAGTTATGTACTCTTCCATGCTCTGACCCAGATAATGCGTATCAACCATTTGTTGAAAGTAGTGACTACAGAAATTGAAAGCAACTTCCTAAAATTTACCATAAAGGTTGAAGGCAACTATTTATGGATATTGACTGATGAACAATGATGTTTGTTATCTGGCAGTTGGAACTGTGTCTTGATCCCTTGTAAAACCATGTTAAAGACTTGTGTAAAGGACAAAACACTTCCTATAGTGTTCAATAAATAAAAACCAAGCCTTTTGTTAGGAACACACAAACACCACTCACACATACAGTACACACAGACAGAACAGACAGATACCAGTCACACATATAGCTCTCACAACAAACAGACACACATAAGGATGGACACACACAGACACAGGGACAAGCATTCACAAGACAGCCTTCAGGCAGGCACAAATTCAGACTCATGCAACAGACAGGATGTAAAACACAGGGATCATGAAGTAGAGAATTCAAGTCTGGACTCTTGGTTAAAAGACTTCAAGAGGAAGTGTTTTTATATCTTTCCTTAATGCAACACCTGTGCTTTATTGGTGACTTGGAGTTAGTCATTAGTGTGTATAGTACATGCAGAGAGAGTCTAGAGAGAGACACTGAACTTTCGGGACCACTCAAAGCTCTCCATTCCTATTCTCTATTCCTCATTCACTAACAAAAAAGTGCCTCTGTGGTTGAGACATCTTAGATATCCAAGATGTGTTCTTTGCCCTCAAAGAATAGAAAGTCTAACACAAACTGCACAGAAAACAATCAGAGATGTTGGAGAATCTGAAGTGAAATCGGAGGCACTGGGCTTGTCCGCCAGGTGAAGAGGTGGCAGAGGAAGAGGGCTGTCTGTCATACTGCATAACGGTCTCTGTTTGTCCAAGAGGAAATGAGGTCACCCTGCTGTCAAAGAATCAGCATGACAGCCTCCAGCCAAGTAATTCGGAGTCATGAGAGCTGGGGGGGGGGGGGAAGGGGGACAACGTGAATCATGCCAGCATGCTGGGAATTTCCTAATATAAAACTAGAGTTTCAGGGTAAGTCCTCAGGCTGTAACATCTCTGTTTACATTTTGATCATGTTTATTTACAATTAATGGCTTTTTAAACCTAAACAAACTGGTCATAGTCTTCTAAAGGAAGTAGCAAGTTACCTCTGAGGCATATGGGATCTCTGACTCAGTGGTCCTATGGCCTGCTGGCAGCTCCGCTGCTCAGGAAAATGGGTTCTGAAGAATGATGGTCACCTGCCCACCCAAAGCTGGATAGTTAAAGTGTACTTTCCCCATCCAGAGGCTGTCATCCTGGCCTCCCCCTTCCTACCTCCTGGGGCCCTTTCCCAAGGTCCAGATGTGCAAGGTAGTGAAAGCCAACAGGCTCAAGGAAAAAAAGCAAGGCTTGGGCCTCCTCTTCCATGAGAGGAACATCAAAATGGCCACAAGTCCTTGTTTCTGACACCAGGGTAGAAGTGAAGGTGACTGAACCTTGGGATCCTTTCTATGTACTTCCAACTGTGCCTGATAGATGTGTGTGTGTGTGTGTGTGTTTGTGCGCATGTGTGCACATGCATGTGCATATGCCTGTGCTTTGTCCTCAAGATTCAGGAGTCACTTACACATGACCTGTTTTTCTGGAACCCTATTTTATTTGGTAAACAATGGTTTTTTATCTTCATATAATAATGTCCTACGATAACACAGAATGCTGAGTACAAATGCATTTAAAATGTACAATTATATTTTTGGAATGGCTAACACAGGGATGTGTTTAAAGTTTTAAAAACAGTATGAAACAGCATTCAATGAAAAGTAAGCATTGTCAGATGGTGGTGGCACACGCCTTTAATCCTAGCACTCAGGAGGCAGAGGCAGAAGGATCTCTGTGAGTTTGAGGTCAGCCTGGTCTACAGAGCAGCAAGTTCCAGGATAGCCAGAGCTACATAGAGAAACCCTGTCTTGAAAACAAAAGGAAAGAAAAGAAAAAAGAAAGAAAAAGAAAAGAAAAATAAGCATTCTTTTTATATTGTCCTCCAGAACCCACAGCCCCTCTACTATAAGGGAAGAGAGAATGCTCCCACTGTGCACATTTTATGGCCCACATTAACAAGTATTTTTTTTCTGTACCGTTACATTTTATTGTTCACATTAATAAGAGCACCCCCCATGATTGTTTATTTGTTTTTGTGGTTCTGGGGTAGGGTAAACACAATAGCACTGAGATGGAACTCAGTCCTATTTACAATCTATAATATACATACATACATATGTGTGTGTGTGTGTGTGTGTGTGTGTATGTATGTATGTATGTATTTTTCATTTTACATACCAACCCCAGTTCCCCCTCCCTCCCCTTCTCTGGGCCCTCACATCCTCCTTCCCTCTTCCCATCCCCATCTGATTGACTGTATTCTTTTCCACACAAATAAATGGATTGTTCATTATAGGTAATTTTCAAAAGACCCATTGACACTTCAATCAGAGTCATTAGCGATTGCTATCCCAAGACTTTGCCCCCATAGTCCTATAATTTATCAGATCATAATCTTTATCAGATTTTTTGTTTTTGTTTTTTCGAGACAGGTTTTCTCTGTATTGATTTGGAGCCTGTCCTGGCACTCACTCTGTAGCCCAAGCTGGCCTCGAACTCACGGATATCCTCTTGCCTCTGCCTCCTGAATGCTGGGATTAAAGGCATGCGCCACTACTGCCCAGCCAGTTTTTTGTTTTGTTTTATTTTTGTTTTTAGAGGCAGTGTTTCTTTGTCTCTAAACCAGGAATTCTAGACCAGGCTGGCCTCGAACTTACAGAAATGCCTCTGCCTTCCTAGTGTTTGGATTAAAGGCATGGGCCATTGTGATTTCTAACACAATCTTTCAAGACTGGCCTGAAACGAAGCAGAAATCTGAAAAAAATCTGACCTTGCTCCCCCTCCCTCACCCGGCTGATGACACTATTACAAAGCCGCTTTTGTCTTCTGATTCACTGGTTGTGTTAATGACATTTGTGGGGGCCTTTGTTAGCAGGTGTTTTTGCAAACTATACCCCTCTATCAGACATCTGAATAAGTGTGCTGGGCAGGTGAAGCTCAAAGATGGACAGGTGGGGAAGAACTGATTAATGTCCATGAGCTACTGTCTGGAGCACCCTCTCCACGCTGCACTGGGCCACTCTAGGTGGACGAAAGAAGGGGAGAATGTATATGACTCTGGATTCCTCAGTCCCGACTATGTTAGTTTGCTTCGCTGGAGATCCTGTGGCCCCCTACATAGTCCGGGAAGCAAGTGCGGTCCAGTCTTAGTAGGATGAAGGGAAAGGAAAAGGGAGAGAGTGCCGCCCTCCGCCGAGCCTGGGCGGGGCCAGGGCTCGGGCAGGCCCTAATAAAGGGCAAGCCACTTCGAGCAGAGACTGGAGTCTTGAGCGCTGTCGCTGGGTCATCAATCCTGTTCTTGCCTGACTGCCAGCGCCCTTCCGCTGCAGTCACCGGTGAGTGCTGTTGGTCTGAAGCAAGCCTGGCCGGGGTGAAGCAGCCAGGGCTCCCGCACTCCTGCCTTTCTGCTACCTTAGCCAGAGGACTGTGAGGGAGGTCATAGCCCCTTGTGTGCCGCTACAGTGTGGGTCCGTGCTGCTGTGCGGGTCCAGAGCCCGCAGAGGGAAGAGACTTCTGGGCCTGGGTTACTTGCCTCACACGGGACCAGGAGCTCCTTCCCTTGACCTGCAGTAACACTGCCATCTTTAAGCTGCTCTGCTTCTAGCCCTGACTTCTCCTTCCTTTGCAGAACCGCTTGCTGTCTAGTGCCCAGACTTACTACCATGAAAGTCTGGCTGGCATGCCTGCTCCTCTGCGCCTTGGTGATTAATGACTCTGAAGTAAGTGGTTTTCTCAGGAAGGGGTTTGAGGGACCCCTAAGCAGCATCAGTGGAAAACAGGGGCTACATGGGGAGCTGGGAGTCCTTAGGCATCAATAGCAAGTCCATTTTCTCCAGGGAAATAGGACAAGGTGTCAGTAGAGGGCTTGAGCACCAAAGACATTTGTACTATCTGACAAGGGAGGAAGAACCCACTAGGCCAGCATTAGCCCATGGGCACCTGATATGTGTGAAGGTTGCTTGAGTCAGTCTGTCTGGATGCTGGAAGACCAGGGCTTTCATTTGGAGAGCTGACTTAAAAACCAGAAAGGAGAGAGACAGACAGGGTGAGGAGGATGAGAGAGAATGAGGTTGAATATCATTGGAGGAGAGAATAGATTTTGAGTTGGGGCCTGTTTATCCTGAACATGGATTCTCTAGAGCATATCACCTCTGGTGACCTCCTACCTTCATCTCCTGCAGGGTCACCATGAACTTGGAACTTCTGATGAATGTGAGTATCTACTTCCTTGCACAATAGTTGGCTGCACAGCCATCTTGGAAAACCTTAGGAGTATGCCCTCCCTGTCCCTGCTGAGAGGCTGACTATCCCTTGATCCTTATTTTACCTCATTTTTGCCCTTGCTAGCAAACTGTGGCTGTCAGAATGGAGGAACATGTGTGTCCTACAAGTACTTCTCCAACATTCGCAGATGCAGCTGCCCAAAGAAATTCCAAGGGGAACACTGTGAGATAGGTATGGGAATCTGGACTCTTAATTGGGAAGGAGGAGAGGACCAGAGATTTCAGAACAGGGAAAGATGGGCAGGATGCAGGAGCAGGTGGGAATGGGGCCTGGTAGTGTAATCAATCGGTAAGGCTACCACTTCGGAGATGGAAGCAGAAATATAGTAAGGTTAGGCCCAGCCTGGGCTACAAGGTAAGACCTTTCCTCAAAAAGTGGGTGAGGCACAGCTAGAGAGATGGCTCAGTGGTTAGGAACACTGCCTGCTTTCCCAGAGGCCTCTGCTTTGATCCTTAGCACCCACATGGTGGGTCACAACCATCTATAACTCCAGTCCCAGGGATCCAATGCCCTCTTCTGGCTTCTTCTAGCACCAGTTATGCACTTGACATACAGATGTACATGTAGGAAAAACACCTATACACATAAAACAAATGAATAAAATAAGATAAAAAACCAGGCAGTAGACATTAGGAAACACGCAGAGCCTCATGAAGCAGTGGCTATACAAATGTGAAGGAGACACTTCCGAGTGTCCCCTGCCGGGTCTGAAATCACATCACCTCTGAAATGCCTGCTCAGACTTCCCCCGTTTTCTAATATCCTGTAATCCTCCAATCATTTGTAGATACATCAAAGACCTGCTATCATGGAAATGGTCAGTCTTACCGAGGAAAGGCCAGTGTCGACACCAAAGGGCGGCCTTGTCTGGCCTGGAACTCCCCTGCTGTCCTTCAGAAAGTCTACCATGCCCACAGACCTGATGCTCTTAACCTAGGCCTGGGGAAACACAATTACTGCAGGTAGGTGGAGACTGGATACCAACAGTCCTTCCTGTGGGGGCTGGAGAGATGACTCAGCAATTAAGAGCATAGGCTGCTCTTCCAGAGGACCTAGGTTCAATTTTCTACATCTACATGGCAGCTCACAACAAACAGTTCAGAGGATCTGATACTCTCTTCTGGCCTTGATAGACACCAGTCATGCATAGACATAAATAAAGGAAACACTCTTACACATCAAAACAAAAAAAAAAAAGACTCCCCCCCCCCTGGACCCCATGGCCTTTTAGAAACCTATTCTACCAGTCCTTGGTATACTGGCACAAGAATCCAGGTATCTGGTCGAGCATTCCCTGGAAGGGAGGATGCAGAGAAGGCATTTTGGGTTGGAATGACATTCCCTATCCCTTCATGTTACCAGGAACCCTGACAACCAGAGGCAACCCTGGTGCTATGTGCAGATTGGCCTAAAGCAGTTTGTTCACGAATGCATGGTGCAGGACTGCTCTGTTAGTGAGTATCACTGACTGCTTATGACAATGACAACAATGACGATGATGGGGTGGAAAGAGACAAACTCATATTGTCCCCTTCTTCTGTTACCAGAGGGATGAAACATGACGTCTGCTTCAATGGGACTCTTCATCCTTTGCTTCTCCCTAAAATATGTATCTTTTTTTTTTTTTTTAAGGCAAAAAGCCCCCTTCTTCTCCAGATCAACAAGGGTTCCAGTGTGGCCACAAGGCTCTAAGGCCCCGCTTTAAGATTGTTGGGGGAGAATTCACTGTGGTTGAGAACCAGCCCTGGTTTGCAGCCATCTACAGAAAGAACCGTGGAGGAATCCCTCCCACCTTTATATGTGGTGGGAGTCTCATCAGTCCTTGCTGGGTGGTCAGCGCCACACATTGCTTCATGTACATACATTCTTTTGTCTCTTCCCTCTGACCCCTTCCTTCCCACCCCAAACATGTCTCTGTCTCCTTCCCTGTGAAAGTCTCCCACCAAGCCTCTCTTCATGTAGCTTTGTAGTCTTAAGTACGAGTAACACTTTGAGGCCTCTGTGATGAAGAGAAGGAAGTAACTTTGTGTGATCATGCTGACATGTCTCATTTCTCACAGTAATGACCCAAAGAAGGAAAACTATGTTGTCTACCTGGGCCAGTCAAGGCGGAATGCCTATACTCCTGGAGAGATGAAGTTTGAGGTGGAGCAGCTCATTTTGCATGAAGGCTACAGTGCTGATAGCCTGGCCCACCATAACGACATTGGTGAGCTGAAAACTTAGTTACCAGGAAGAGGATAGCCAGAAAAAGAGGGGTCCAGCAAAAGCCCAAAGTAGTGGTAGAAGTTGTTGGGGGAACTTGATGTTCTGACTTTATATGACAACTATGGAGAAGACTTCAGAGGTAACTGAGGGTATAGCACTGCTCTATAGAGACCTTGAGTTTCCCCAACAGGTAGCTGCTTTTGAGTGGGAAGAACCGTTGGCATATGGCTTAGGCTGGGAATGCCCTGTTTGTGCAGGGTAAGGTGGATACATCTGTCTATACCTGAATATAGGATTTATAGAGCAAAGCCTTGGCTGGCTTTCAGTTCAGCTCCCTTAGTGATAAACAACCTGTTCAGATGTATATGGTAACCCTGGCTGCCTGAACGAACCTCCATCATCAGCTGAAATAAAGCATTTAGAGAATATGGCGGGGAGGCTTCTTGGATACTCTGTGACTCTAGTGTCATGAGTATAGATCAGTGCTGCAGCATTTAGAGGGGAGAGATGTTGCCCATCTAACCTGGTAGGTGATAATCTTTTCCCTTTGACCTTTCCCTTCACCAGCCTTGCTGAAGATACATACCAGCATGGGCCATTGTGCACAGCCATCCAGGTCCATACAGACTATCTGCCTGCCTCCAAGGTTTGGTGATGCCCCTTTTGGTTCAGACTGTGAGATTGCTGGCTTTGGAAATGAGAATGTTGGTAAGTGACAGTTGCAGCTGAAACTGGGAAGTGTTATGGTCCAGAAGCAAATGTAGCAGACTATCAAAGGAACACTGAGGAGACAGAGATTGGAAAACTATGGAGGTGACAAATAGGTCCAGGGATAGACTAGGAAGCAATGGGCAACCAAGTCAAATGGGTTGAACCATTATTGGTGGAGTACAAGCTCAGATTGGAATTTAAAAAGAGGAATAAGGGATTTCCACAGGTGGGTTCTATTTTTATCTTCACCCTTGCAGAAGGTCTCATCTATAGACACATCTTAATGCAAACATTAATTTCCTCTATCTAGCTGACTATATCTACCCAAAGAACCTGAAAATGTCCGTTGTGAAGCTTATTTCCCACAAACAGTGTATGCAGCCTCACTACTATGGCTCTGAAATCACTTATAAAATGCTGTGTGCTGCTGACCCACAGTGGGAAACAGACACTTGCCAGGTAAGACCCAAGCTTCCTGTTTTATTACTCCCAAACTCCCCACAGCTCTTGGATTTGATCTGACAGCTCTGGGGAGTTTCTTTCTAGCTGACATCCTAAGAATCAAGGACTTAGATCTTTGGGAGCTTATGCCAATACTTACAGCTTCAAACATTTGGCACGAGCCTGTGCTACACACTAAGACTAAAAGGAACTGAGAGCATTAAAAAAAAAAAAAAAGCCAGACTTGATGGAGCACATCTATAGCCTCAGCATTCCTAGAACTTTGGAAGCTGAGGCAGGAGGATTATGAGTTCAAGGCCAGCCCAAGATACATAGTGAGACTTCAAGGTCTGTGTTACAGAGCAAGACACTTTCTTTAATAAAATAAAACAAAAACCCAAAACAAAACAAGAGAACAACAAAAAAAGGATGGATGCCTAGTTCAGTGGTACAGCGTTTTCTTAGCATCCTCAATGTCCTGAGTTCAACCCTCCACTCAGGGAAGAGACCATAAGAAAAACCAACAGTCTGGAAGCATAACTTAGTTGGTGGCATGCTTAACCAGCATCAGTGAAGCCCTGGACCCAGTCCCCAGCACTGTGTGTAATGAATGACCCACACCTGTAATACCAGATCAGAATCAGAAGTTTACAAGTTACTTCCTCAGCTATGTGTGAATTCAAAGCCAGCCTGGAATACATAGGATCATGAGACTTTGCCCCAGTCTCCAAAACAGAAACAAACAACAACAAAAACATAGATACTATTCACATCACTTCTGGGCCTCTGGCTAAGAACAAGTGAGATCAATATGATTGTCCAATCCGTTGTATGGGATCTGTTCATTGTGAATTACAAAAGATAGGTATTAGGAAAGGGAGGAGAAGCCCTAAAGAGAATGTGACTGGTCAATAAAATGGTGGGAGGAAAAGAAAGAATGCTTCAGCTGAAAGAACCAAAACTGAGGCTGGCCACACCATATGGCAGGCTCTGGGAAAGCCGGCCGAACAGCAGCAGACAGAAACCAAGTAGAAGTTTTTGCACTCAATTGGATAGAAAACAGGGAGTTGCCAAGGTCTCCTCAGCCATGGCCGAAGGGTGATGGCCCTTTCCTTACTTCTTCCAGAGCTCACTTCTTTTTTATTTTTGACTTCCCAGGGAGACTCTGGAGGACCTCTGGTCTGTGACATAAATGGCCGACCAACTCTGAGTGGGATTGTGAGCTGGGGCCAGGGATGTGCAATGAAAAACAAGCCAGGTGTCTACACGAGGGTCTCATACTTCCTGAGCTGGATTCAAGCTCATATTGGAGAAGAAAATGGCCTAGCCTTCTGATGGCCTCCAGGTGGCTGAGGAAAGAAACAGAAGGACCACTCACTCACTTCCATGCTGCCCATCACCTCTGTAGCAGGGTCCTCTCTATCAAATGTAGGGAAGAAGCTGGGAAGGGCAGGCTTTGCATTGTTTGCCTGCACTGCCCATCAGGGTAAGTGCTAGTAGTTTTACCCTCAGACACAGGCCTGGATGCTGGCCACCCAGACCCCCTGATCAGCATGGAAAGTTGGTCCTGACTCAGGAGGATATTGACCAGGAGCTGTCTTTTTCTGGACCAACACATCTGAAGCTATGAAAATGTCTCCTAAGCAAATATAGGAGGAGAGTTTGTTCCCCTAACGGGATCATTCATGAGGTCATGAGGTCTGCTGTTGGGAAAGAAATGATTTCCCAATTAGGAAATGTAACAGCTGAAGTATTTTGAGGGGGCTTGTCCAATATGAGAACAGTGGTTTTGAGGAGTAGAGACACTAATGGATTGGGGGAGCGGCTCTTGCATTCCACAAATGGATCGGGAAATATACTGTTTGTTCACTGTGCACAGGCTATGAGTGTAAGACTGAGCAAAAACTGGTGTATTCCTGTGTCTAACTGAAAGTCTAGGTGTTTCCTTAAATTCTGGACTGTGATGCTGGGGCCTCTCAGTCTTCCATGTGATGCTCCATGTGAATGTATCATTCTCGGGCGTGACCCGTGACAAGCACTAAATGTCTGTTTCACTTTTTATATAGACATCCACTTCTTGGCCAGTTATCTTGTTACTTATTAGCCTGATTCATCCAATCCTCACTGGGTGGGGTAAGAATCATTCCAATATACTTAATATTTAATAATTATGTTCTGCTATTTTTATTTATGTCTATTTTTATAATTCTGAATAAAGGATCAATAAAATGTGATTTTTCTGAAGATTCTGGTTTCTCTATGAGTCTTGTGTGGGACCAATAAAAGAAGGCAATAATGAGGTGATATGTATTTTAGTATCATTTGGGACATCCTTGATTTCTTTTGGACAAAAATGCTTGGATGAGGGAAAACTGCTACCCCTCTATGACTTTAGTGAGTGGCCCTGAAAGCTAAATAGAGACTTATAAGTTCGGGGTTAGCTTGGGCTGCATGGTGATTTCAATGTCAGTGAGGTTACATAGCAAGACATTGTCTAAAAAATAAAAAATCCACCAAGAAAGAAAAAAAGCAGTGTGGAGATAGAAGATATGACTATGCAACTAAGAGTATGTGTGCTTGCTGTTTTTGCAGAGAACTGGAGTTTGGATCCCTGCACCCACTTCAGGTGGCTGACAACCACTTGTAATTCTTCTGGTCTCTGTAAGTACTAGCACCCATAGACATACATGGTTAAAAGTAAATCTTACAAGAAAAGAAAAAGATGAAAATATCAGTGTAAGTGGGTATAATGTCTCATGCCTGTTATCCCAGCCTGGGAGAGACCGAGGCAGGAGGACTGGAGTGAGTTTGAAGATAACCTGGCTACAGAGTTTTAGTCTTTAAAGAAAAAAAACAAACAAAAAAAAACAAAAAAAAAACAAAAAACACAAAAGATAAACCAGGAGATGGTGGCACACGCCTTTAATCCCAGCACTCAGGAGCCACAGGCAGGCAGATCTTTTGAGTTCAAGGCCAGCTTGGTCCATAGAGTGAGTTCAGGACAGCCAGGGCTACACAGAGAAACCCTGTCTCAAAACAAAAGCAAAAACAAAAAACAAACAAATAAATAAAATAACCAAACAGCAAACCATTGTGAATCTGGTATTCCAGAGAAAGCGAACATAATTTTCTATCATGTGTGTGGGAACACACACTTAATGTGCACTTAATGTAGCCTGGGAAGGCAAGGTTAGGAGAGTTCTCGTGTTGGCTGTCACAGCAGCTAAGTTATGAAACAAGCTGTGGCTTGGTAAGCAGTATTCAGGTTGAGTTGCATCTCACAATTGCTTCCTCAGCCTGGTGCCATTGTGTGGTGTACCTCTTTGATTACTTATTTATTTTTGAGATGGGGGCTGGCTTGGAACCCAGTATGTAGACCAGGACTGTCTCTGCCCACTGAGTCCAGCAGTGTGCCTTTTTTGTCCTTTTTTTTTTTTTTTTTATTGTGATACTGAGGATTAAATCCTACATTTTAGGATTTAATTTTTATCTTATTTTCTTCACTTTGATATAAGGTCTTACTAAGTTACAAGGTAGCCCTTAAACTCACTCTGCAGCCCTTGCAGACATTAAACATGTGATCCTCCTGCTTCAGCCTCCTGAGCTGCCAAGATTAGATTACAGGGCCATACTCACAGTGAGTCTCGTTAGGATCAGCTGTAGCACATTCTCTTTACTCTGTCCTCCATATCCTTGGGCTGACCTCAGCCAAGAACATTTGCTCAAGTGAAAACTGCTGATCCATAACACCACCCTACATAACGTGACATTCCAGGAAAACAAAATCAAATGTCTCCTGACGTGAGTGAGGGGCTAATGCTGTGTTTTCTTGGGTGTAAATGCCACTCATTGCCATATGTAAGATCATGGAACTCAGAACTAAAGTTGGATGATATCCTAGTAGGGGTGACCACATAATTTGAAACCATCAGTTCTGAAGAACTGAGGTATACATAGAAGGCAGGCTGGGAGATATTATTAGATGCTAAAGTATTGGGATTTCCAAGTCATGCTTGTGAGTTTTGGCAGTGTTTCTTACAAGAGTCACCTGAAAAACTTTTAAAAATATCTACACACCTATGCCCCACCTGTTAGAGGTTATGATTCAGGTCAAGGCTGATGCCAGGTCTGTGATCTTGGGAAAACTCACGAGGTGTGTTTGACATACATCACTGACTAAGAACCTCAGGCAACAGATACTTGGTCAGAATCTATAAAGGGCCCAGAAAATTCAAGACCTGGTCAGCATGAGTTCTTTGCATGAACAGCCAGTTTTCCAAGTTGAGTTTGTTGATCCCTAAGTCTTTAATTCTACAACCTAGCAAGTTTTGTTTTTGTTTTTCCACACAGCATAACTGTGCTGGAGCACAGATTTTGCAATCAGGTGGCCTGAACTAGAAACCTGGCTTTTAACACTAGCTATGTGGTTTGGAAAAGACCATTAGCCTCTCTGTCCCCCTGGCCACATTTCCTCCACCATAAAGGAGATACCAGGGCCAGTGAGAAAGGTCACTGGTTGAAGGGGCTGGCTGACAAGCCCGACAACCTGAGTTTGATCCCCAGAACCAACGTGGTAAAAAGAGAGATGTACTCCTGAAAGTTGTCCTCTGACTTCAGTTCAGTGCAGTGCCATGATTGTGCCTGTACACACACACACACACCCCTAATTAAAGCGCCCAACCAAGGTTTTTACAAAGCTAAGTAAATATCTCAGGGTTTAATCCTTCCTGTCTCCCATCCTAGGACTGCACTAGTGTTTGTGGGAGCAGAGGACTTCCTGGGAAAGAAAGGACAGGATTAGAAGCTAAGGGGCCCAGCCCAGCTAAACTGCCATTCAGTTCTTCATTTCTTCCCTAAGGGCCAAGAGGAATCGTGTTCAAACTTGAGCAGCCCCAGCAGCATCAGGACTTCCAGACACAGAAAACAGGAAGTATGAGCCCCACTGGCAGGTTGAGCAATAAGGCTGCAAAGGTCTGCAGACTGTTTCTCAGCCACCACCTCTGCCCTCAGCTATCTTGTCCTGAAGATCTGCTTGCTTCCCCAACAACTATTTTGGAGCTTTGGATTCTGATTCAATCCTTTCCCTCATTCCAGGAAGAGGATACTGTACTATTTGTAGCCCTCCTTTACTGTAGAAAGAGCAGAGGCATAGAGACATTGAGAAACCTGCACTGGGCAAACACAGCTGGGAATGCAGAGTTAGGCTTTGAACTCAGGCAGCTGGCTCCAGAGTCCATGGACCCAATGTAAGGGGAGGATTCTCAGGCACCATTTTATAGAACAGCTTCACCCCAATCAAGCAACCTTAGCCTTCTCTGCTGAAATCAGGTTTCACCAAGGTGGTTTCCGTTTTCACCAGAATTCTTCCTTTTGAAATGTGTTGTGGCCCATTCAATTATCAGGACTCAACTTGATTCCCTTACATGCTTTCCCAAGCCAGAGCCCCGACAGCCACACCCCTGCACACACATTCCCATTGAGTCCACCTTCCTCCCCAGCAGGAAACATCTGAGCTCTCCCTTGAATCAGACAGTGTGAAGAGTTGCTGACAAATATTTAAAAGAACAGCTCTGATGAGATATAGTTCATATATTATACAATTTATCCGTTTAAAATATTTAACTTGATGAGTTTTTAGCATATTTACAGAACTGGGCAACATCACAATCAATTTAGGACATTTTCATCACCTCACAAAGAAAACCTGAACCAATGAGCAATTGTTTCCTTTCTCTTCCTAGGCTCTCAGCCCTAGGTAGCCTCTTACCTACTTTCTGTGACTGTGGGTTTGCCAATTCTAGACACTTCACATAAATAGAATTATATAAAACACAATATTGCCTCTTTTCAGTTAGCATCATGGTTTCAATTAGCACATCCATCCTGTAGCACGTGTCAATATTGCTGCTACATTTTAAATAACAAACTGGGCTCTTTTCTGACCTTGCAGTCATGTTCAGATTCAGCAACAGTATTCTTCCCCCCTCCTTCCTTCTTTTCTTCTCCTTCTTTCTTCTCCCCTGTGTCCTGTTCTTTTTTGAGATAGAGTCTGGCTATGTGGGTGAGGCTGCTGTGGATCTCACTGTGTAGCTCAGCCTCCCAAGCACTGAGTCTTCCTTCCTCTCCCCCCTCCTTTCTTTTTAAAGATTTTTCAAGAAAAATATTTCCCTTTATTTTGTATGTGTGACTCTTTTCCCTGCATACATGTAAGTGTATCATGTGCAGGAAGTACCCATGGAGCCTAGAAGAGGGTGTTAATTCCCTGGATGGCTGTGAGCTGCCATGTGAGTGCTTAAAATCAAACCTGAGTGGCCTGCCAAAGCAGCTCCTCCAGTCCAACCCCCACTTCTTTCTTTTTTAAGTACATATGTGCCAAGCATTCTTAGGTGCTGGGGACACAAGAGCAGATGAACTAGACCTTGTGGTTCAGGAGCTAACAACTTTGTAAAGGAAACAGAATCACTGCCAAATCTAATGAGATAGCAATTACAAAGAAAGTATGTATAAAATGCATAAAAGTACAACAATGGCTCTCTTCATTCTGCTTTGTAAATGTACAAAGGAGATAATATTTCACTTAGGTCTTTAAAGATGTACAAAGACTTGCCGAATACAGAAGAAAAAGGCATTCTAGGCCTACGGGAGACTATGGAGGCATGAAAAGGCCAGGGGTCCTCAAGAAATGACAAATAGTCTGTAGTGGCAGAGCCAATAATCTAAATGGCAATAATTAGAGGAAGAAGCTGGTGGGATCCAATGGGTGAAGGTTCTTTTTTGTTGTTTGAGACAGGGCTTCTCTGTGTAGCTCTGACTGAACCGGGCTGACCTCGTAGTCCCAGAGATCTGCTTGCCTCTGCCTCCCGAGTGCTAGGATTACAGGTGTGCGCCACCATCACCTGGCTGGGTGATGGTTCTTAGAGGACTGATTGTCTACATCGTATTCCATCCCCTTCGAACTAAATATAGCATCTTCTGTCTTAAGGTATCCTCCTTTCCCTCCTTTCTCTACTTAATGATCCAGTAACCACAGGGTCAGTGCCTGTGAGAGCCTGCCAAAATGTTGGTACTGGGAAGTCCTGCTAACGTTTTGGACATCACATCTTTCTTTTAGGTTTTCTATTTTCTTCGAAGTCCAGAAAGCTAATTAAGGTCAGGGTGCTACAACTTTCTTTGTGTGTTTGCGCATGCCTGTGTGTGCCTATCACAGTATATATACATGGGGAGTCAGAGGACAACATGTGGTG